GTATGGATCAAGGCACGATATTGCTAACGCAGTTGTTGTTCGTATTCCACTTTGATGTATGTGGGAAAAAAATGGTCATGGGTCCAAAGCCAAAATATGAGGATCTGTGCAAGTTTTTGAAGGGCGTGAGAAATAAGGACGAGGGGAGGAAGAAATGCAAGGCTGATAAGAAAAAAGAAAGGAGAGAACATCGCTGAAGCAGATCCTAGAATGCAAAAACGGAGCGGACCAGCAGCCGCAGAAACGAATTAAAAGTTTCTCTCCCATCAAGTCAGAGGGGGATTTCAAAGCTGAAAGAACGCAATGAGTCACCCCCTGCGACTCCTGCCCCACGAAACCGTCCCAGCGGCGTCGAGAACCGTCCACCCAAGGCCCCCGAGAAGAGGTCGCGGGAAGACAGAATGTCAAAGTTGCACCACATGACAAACAAGAGAATCACGTACAAAAATGACAGAATGGTGAAGATGATCGATCTGAGAGCCTCGGACGATGTGCACAGCGAGGCCCGAGAGGTAGCAGACGAGGAACACGACCATTCCATATAAGAAAAGTCTGACGGGGAGGAGAACGAGGCAACAAGTGACGAGGGAGGTGACAGTCAAACTTCCAACGGACATTCTCGCGACACTCACGACGTTGATGACGAGGACGGCAGGAGCAGCGACGGCAGAGCGCAGGGAGTTCCCCATCTCCGAGAAGAACGCGATGTACGAGGGAACCCGAAAGTGGCGGCGAGGGAGGCGCAGCCGACGCGCCCTCCATTGACAGACAACTAGTGAGGCACGACAATGCAGTTAAAAAAGGTAAACAAAATGTGCTGAAGTTGCTCCTCTTGCACAACGATTACGTGGTGACAACGCAAAGTGATGACATTTTCTTATTGCGACGATGTCGTTGTGATGAACTTACAGTTGAAACGGGCTGTCGAATTTGGCAGGCTCGAAAATGAGTGCAAAACGCGGAGTTTTTAATATAATTCTGTGCGTTGTAATGTGTGTCTTCCAACAGATGGCACGAACTCGCAAAGAAAAGTGTGCGCGAGCAGGGGAGGACAACAACAGGCCAATCAAGAAAGCGGCGTATTCTCGAAGGAAATGAAGGACAGACTGTTCCGGGCGGTCGCAAAAGCCTTTGCGTTCTCAGCAGCAAAGGACGCAACTCTGTACCCAACAGAGGATGAATTTTTCACGGCGCTGCAAACAACGACCAAATTGATAGGCGAGAACGTCGAGAAAGGACTGCGATCACACTTAGCGGAGTGCGGGATTCAAACAGTCATAGGGGAGTGCAACAGAATGATGACAACCGTGCGTGGAGAGATAACATGGCAACTGAAACATTGGTTCTGGGCTGAAAAGGGATCCCGCTTGTACGATCGCAGCAAACAGATCACCAGCTCCCTACTCGCAACAAGATGCGAGCAGAGATGAAGGAGAACAAAACGTGGAGACGGAGCGGCAACGATCCTTGGGGCGCCCCAGCCTTCAAGACGGCACTCACCAAGGTTTTCCAGATGAGGAGGGACGACGTTAACCTTGGCGTGACCCTACAGCAACTGGCTTTTGCAGAGATGGTTCTACAATGTGAAATCGAGCAGACAACAAAGACCACCAGAGCGGCGGAGCAGATAGGAAAATTGGTCTCTATAAAGCAGGACATCGCATCATCTGTCCGCAGCCGCGATACAGTCATGAGTTTTTCGATCTTCAAGTTGGACCGTGCCGTATCTGTTGCTGAGAAGGTTGCTGCGCTATTTCGAGTTGGCGTGCCCTATGTCCACAGGAGTGGGCCACAGAACACAACAATAACAAATGATGATTTCGACCTGGAGTTCATTGCACCGCAGCATGAGAGAAGCAGAGACGGGGAGAGGGATACAGAAAGTCTGTGCGCCAGACCTTGAACAGGGGGGGGGGGGGGGGAGGTGGTGAACAGAATAGTGTGAATCAGAAGGTTCATTATGGAATCTGTGAATCAAAAGGTTCATTACACAAGGTCATGGTCATTCCATGAGCGAGAGAGAGAGAGAGAGAGGGGGGAGATGAAGACTCTGAACCATGACACTTGAACAATCACTTTACAACATATGGTCTGTTATTTATGATACACAAGTGTACAATCCCTTGTAATGCTCATCTTTGTGTCATTGGTCATAGAGCAACTATGTTATGAAAAAAACATCATCCGTGGTTGTCATCATCATAGAGGTTGGCTAGTGCGTACCACTCTCTCTCTCATGCCACCATGTTGCTAAAGTTGTGTCACGCAGTAGTGAACCGTGCTTGTAGCAAGCCATCTCAGCATTTAATTGAGGCTCCCACACGCGTCCGTCCATAGAATGAAGTACGACAATCCTACAGACTCGAAAAGGAAGGTTGGCTACTGTGTGCCACTCTCTCCCGCGAACTGCCATGTTGGTAAATTTGTGTCACGCAGTAGTGAACCGGGCTTGTAGCAGGGCAGCTCAGCATTTAATCGACGCGCCCTCACGCGTCCATCAACGAAAATGAAATACCGCAATTCAGCACCAATCAAAAACAAAGGTTGGCTACTACGGGCCAATATCTGTCCCGCACTGCCATGTTGGTGAATTTGTGTAACGCAGTAGTGAACCCTGCTTCCAACTCTCTCTCTCTCTCTCTCTCTCTCTCTCTCTCTCTCTCTCTCTCTGGCCCTCTCTCTTTACCTTCAGTTATTGTGGTCGTTGCATGTCAGGAGTACTGAAAAACTCAATGATTTACATTTGCGAAAGAGCATATCATATCGTGCAGCATGAGAAAATGACTGGAAGAAACGGCGAAAACCGACGACATGAGCCAAAAATAACGATTTTTTCCCCATACACAGAACGTAACATTCTACGAAAGGTGAACACGTTTTCAACTTCCAACAAGTTTTCAACACGTTTCAACACGTTCTCAACACGTTCCTACAAGTTATCCACAAGTCTTCAACAAGTTTTCAACAAGTTTTCAACAAGTTTTCAACAAATGGTCAACAGATGGACCACCATCCTTTCAACAAATGGACACACCAGTTTCAGTGAGCCCAATGTTTGGTCAGCGTTGGTTTCCTTCACTTCTGGTGGAACACATGACCCTCCCCCCGCCAAACAATTTATAAACAAAGTTCCAACGGTTGAAATGTGGTGTCCACACGTGATCATCCTGCTAAAAAAATTGCCACAATTTTTTTGTTGAGGTTATCCCCAAAGCCAAGATGACGCAGGGTGGTCAGGATATATGTCCAATTTACCCTGTCGTTTGTTTTTTCTAGATCCAACATAAAAATTGACATATCTAAGGTCTTGGCTTGAACCAATTCTCGGGCTTCAATCGTCGTAACGATATTATAAAAAATCTCGATTTTGGATAAAGGCGGCTTAGTCGGTGCCCACCAGGCAGGTAAATACCTCCCCAAACGTGTGGCAAGGATTTTTGCCAAAAGTTTGTATGAGACATTAAAAACACTGAAATCGGACGCCAGTTTCAAATTTCATATTTGTCGCCTTTTCTGTAAAGCAGGGTGATAATATAATTCCGCATGCCTTTCGATAGACATCCTCCTACTAGGACGTTGTTATAGATGTCGATTATGGCATCCTTCACTAAGTCCCAGATTACCAGATACAATTCCACCGGAAGACAATCCTCTCGCGGGGCCTTGCCCTGAGCCATTGCGCGGAGGGCTGCGTAAGCTTCCTCATAAGTGATAGGACGATCGAGATCCAGTTTTTCGTGGGGGGCCAGTCTCGTAGTGAAGGTCACCCAATGAGACGAACCCTCTGATAAGTCTGTGGTGATATCTTTCAAAGGGCGCCGAGTTGAGAGGATATCCTGATAGCACATGAAGACATATTCAAACAACTGGTCCTGATCACTTGCCTGAGGGAGCGAGCGGTCAAAGGGGTGGGTCAATTCACTCATCAGTAAGGTGAGTTTTTTTAGCAGGAGACATTGAAACGATTCCTTAGTCATTCGATTATAAACGATAATCCCTTTAACTTTAAGGCGTTCTAACCAGACATCCGATTGTGTTTGTTGAAGTACATCCCATTCTGCATTAGGCGGACCCTAATGAGGCCCAATACCAGGTTGGAGATAGGATGGGCATTCATGCGAAATTCAGCGTATTAATTTTTTTAATTAAAGTGAGCTCCTGTTTTCTCGTCCGACCGCTAGGATACGAGAGAAGACGCTAAGATGTTTGGATAAGATGTGCGAACCCGTATCCCACCACTCAGATTTGGAATCAAAAGAATCAACATTCAAATTTCAGTCCTCCCAGAAGCGTGTCATCCAGTCCACTATCCCTGAATCTAACAAAATCTGTGTATTGACCCTGAAGTAATCGGGGTCTCTGGTTGGCTTCTTTGAGTTTAAAGTGACAACCACTGGCTTATGGTCAGACATGGGTTGAAACGACTCTTCTACCCTTACCGTGATATTCCATAGGTCGGGGGAAATAAGGAAGAAATTTAGTCGTCTATGGATGACCCCTACTCCTTTTCGTACATTCGAGAACCAGGTGAAATCGGGGGAATCCGGGTGCATGAGACGATATGGCTCCACAAGATCCGAGTCCGAAATTGTTTCCAAAAGCACACTTACGTCCGAGTGAGCTCTCACTCCCTCTTGGTTGTCCAGGAAAGTATTCCAGTCTCCGGTGACAATCAGGTTCGCACAGTGTGGAATCAGGGAAGGTAGATCATAGAAAAAACGCTTGCGATCTGAACAGTCCACTGGAGCATAAACAGTGGCAACTACCCATTCCTGGTTTTCTATCTATAACTATACCCAAGCCCATCTAACCAAGAGATCCGCATAATAATCGATGATTTCAAAATCAGAGTTCCTATGGAGGAGGATTGCGACCCCGCCTCTTGAACCTACAACTGAGGACCAAATTTGGGGTCCGTCCCACCATAATCCCAAGTCCCCGATAACTCAGGCTCTTGAACACAGGCAATATCGAGTTTCTGATCAAGGATCCAACTTTTTAATCTGCCTTGCTTATTCCTACCTGCCGTGTCCCCAAGGCCCCGGATATTCCACGTGGCAACATTAAGTTTGCCCATTCACCGGAGCAGTCCCTGAGGGTTGTTGGATACGAGCGGCTTGTTAAACTGAGACTTGTATTATCGGCCATGGGTCAGTAAAGGATTGTTTGATGAGGGAGGAATCCAGTTTTCACTCTCTCAAGAGCTTTGCATTCAGTTCGTACAAAAACTCGACAGTTAATACTGAGGACACATGAATACGGCGGAACTCAAGTTTTTTGGCTTCCAGGAACCATGCAAAGGGGATGAGGCGAAGGCCTTCAAACTCCAACTGTTATAGTTATCCTGTAATAAAACGACCATCGAACAGGGGGGCAAAAAACTTCGTTCGTTTCCCTGCAACATCGACGAGAAAGTGGGGCATAGAGACCTCAGCGATGATTCGCAAGGTGAATTTGTTTTGGAATAAAGTACGAGATATCGATTCTGTAGCATGGGGCATTGGTAGGTCGAGACTGAAAGTGTTGAACAAGCATGGGGTTCCACCTGAACTAGTCAAAGCAACAACCCAGAAGACGTTCCTAACATAGATACACACTATGGGGAGAAGTTTGGTTTCCAATAATGATTGGCCTTTCGAAAGGGCGTCAGTACAGGGACGATGCAATTTACGTTTACCTGGTGAGGTGGCATTGCCACGTGGGCCGCCGGAGGCAAAAAAATGATATGAACCCTCACTGGAGGTGGCGGAAGGATCAGGCTTGAGTCTGTCCACCTGAATATCGATTCCGTCAGCATCGCTCGCCCATCGTTGTTTGCAGGAGGAT